GTTCAAACCCACCAGCCACTCCTCAGAAGGAAGACTGGGCAATCTACTTCTGTAGAGATACCACCTCGGAAAGCCAGGGAGGGATCGCTATGAGTCAGAAGTGACTGAACAGCAGTGAGTTTGGTTTTTGGTTTTTGATAGTTCCAGGAAAAGTCTTAGACCTGAATATCATTGGTCTGAATGAGGCTGCATGCTCTCAGCTGTTCTTAATGGGGGATTTTGTCCCCTATGGGACATTTGACAATGTATGGATATATGTCTGCCAAATATCCTACAATGTCTGGGACATTATCCACAACAGATAGCCTGAAATGTCAATAGTGCCACAGTTGAGACACCGTGCATACCCTCCTCACTCTCCTCAACCAGTTCCTGTGGTGTTGACTGGCCAGACCTGTTTCATGCATCCATTTCAAGTGTGACAGTGGAGTGGTGAGGTGACCTCAACTAGAGGCCCTGCACTGAGAATGGAGCAGGAAGATTTCTTAGAAAAAATGTGAGGGACTTCTGCCAGAAGAAGGGTGGATACTGAGCAGGCATATCCAACATGCCATATTTTGCACTAGGCAAACAGCAGGTTCTCAGAAGACACCACTCAGAAGGGATTAGGACACAACCTACTCTGGTATGACCTCCTTAACCTAACTGATAACATCTTCAAAGAAAGAATGTATTTCCAAGCAGGGTCCCATTCACAGATGGAAGGGTTAGGACGTCAGCATCTCTTTTTTGGGGATATAATTTAATCCATAATAGGGTTGATAGTAGGCAATTAGAAGAAAGGCTGGACTTCATAGACAAGAGCAGAGGACTTTGGCAAGGCATGGTCCCAAGGTTCAAAACAAAGAGTTAGCAAACCCAAAATAAGAAACTTCTTCTTGGAAGCTTTTCCTGTATCATCAATTTGATACATATATATATACTTTTTGGTAGATACAACCCTGTCTTTGTTTCCGTGTGCTGCTATACCATAAACAACCCAAGTGAGTGGGTTTAAGGAACAGAAACTTATTTTCATACAGTTCTGGAGGATAAAAAGTCCAAAGTCAGGATATTGGCTCCAGGGAAGCACCCTTTCTTGTCAGTAGCACCAACAGGTCCTTGGCATTCCTTGGTGTTTATGTTCCCCCTATGTGTGTCTCTGTGTTTATGTTGCTCTTTTTAGGAGATACCACTCAGAAATGATTAGGACCCCCTCCATTCTAGTATAACCTCAATAACATGATAATAGAAAACCTCTCTTTCCAAATAGGGTAATATTTACAGGTACCTGGGCTAGAGCTTCAACCTATATATTTGGAGGGACACATTCAACCCATAACAAACCCATCAAATAATATAGATGTATAAGCTGTAAAAGCACTTTCAGAAGTCATAATAAACCTTGCTCCCTGTCCTCCAGTGCCCACTACCCATCTATCAGAACCAGATACTAGGCTCCTCTGAACTCTCTTAGGACTTCTGTTTCTTTTGGCCACATCTCTAAGCACTTTTTGTTGTAATAATTTAAATATATCCTTTTCTCTTCCCCTCAAGGAAAGCTCCCCTATGGAAAAAAAAAAAAAAAAAGTGTGTGTGTGTGTGTGTATATAAACACATCACCTAGCGCAGTGACATGTACACTGTAGGCAAGAAATAAATGTTTGTTGGATG